TTTGCCTCAGCCTCCCAAGTAGCTGGGACCACAGGCGCCCGCCACAACGCCCGGCTATTTTTTTTCGGTTGCAGCCGTCATTGTTGTTTGTCGGGCCTGGGCTAGATTCGAACCTGCCATCTTAGGTGTATGTGGCTGGTGCCTTAGCCACTTGAGCCACAGGCGCCGAGCCAAGTTATATGTTCTTAAAATAACTGCCTTAGGAAATGGTTTCTGTATAAAAAGGTCATGAACTCAAATTTATCTTCAGGGACCAGGCCTGAAGTGGTAAAGTGCTACTTAACAGTGGTAGTGGAGTGGCAGGAATCCTGGCCAAAACTAGAGCGTATTCTCCAGCATTTAGAATCAGATTATATAAAATGTGGGACAAATCTAGCTTGCAAGTACCGGTTTCCATCTTGTTGTATAACTTTGTCCAGGTGTTGCTTTGGAAACAAAGTAAGATCTGCCTGGGAATTATGTATCCTGGGATTAGGAGTGGACAAGCCCTTGTCCCTGTTCATCAACAGTTATTTTAAAAAGTGAAAAGGAAGCAAGTTGGGGCTAGAAAAGAGTGGAAGGAGAGCAGCTTATTTGCAAAGCTACACTGGTGTGGACAGACTTCTAAACTTGTGTGTAGGAAGTTACTCTCCTGTATTTGATTCTTCAGTGTCCCCTTAAGGAAACCTGTTGGCTTTTTATTCTTCCCTACTGATAAGCACAGCTTGGCAGCTCTGGGGCTATTAGTCAACTTCTTTGAAAAGTTCTTGGTGGTAGGAAGACTTGTAACTGAAAGGGTCCTTCTACTTAATCTCACCCTTCTAACTTGCTGTGCTGCTGACAAGTGGAATTCGTGAGTGTATCTGAGTAGGTTTCTGGTTTCTAAGCACTGTGCCTAGCACACTGTAGGCCTTCAATAAATACTTAACTGCAAGAATGAATCTTGATCTCTATCCCTCATGGACTGGCTTGAAGATGTTGAAGAAAACTTGTACAGGCCCTCACACCCTTCCACCCCCCTTAAAACATCAACATTCCAGTAGATAAATTTTGGTATATTTAAATAGTGGGATATTAGACACAATAAAAATGAATGAATTACAGCTATTCAACGTGGGTGAGTATCTCAAAAACAATGTTGACTCAAAGATGCCAAACATAAAAGTGTGTATACTATGTTCCCACGTAGGGCAAATTAAAAACCAAACGAATCTATGATGAGATGGTGAGAATAGTGGCTACCTTGAGGAGGGGACACTTTCAGGATACTGATAAAATAGGTTCTTGCTCTAAGCGGTGGTCACGTAGACATCTTCATTTTATAAAAATTCACAGAGATCCTATGTGCATGCTATACATCATTTTAAAAATTTTATTTTTTTAGAGACAGACTCTCACTTTGTAACCCTTAATAAAGTGCGGTGGCATCACAGCTCACAGCACACAGCAACCTCCAGCTCCTGGGCTTAAGTGATTTTCTTGCCTGAGCCTCCCATGTAGCTGGGACTACAAGTGCCCAACACAACACCCGGTTATATTTTGTTGCAGTTTGGCTGGGGCCAGGTTCAAACCTGCCACCCTCCATATATGAGGCCAGTGCCCTACTCACCAAGCTACAGATGCTGCCCTCATTATTAAAAGTTTATTAAAAACTTTTTAAAAAAATTGTTGTGGATTCATCAAGGGTACAAGAAACCAGGTTACACTGATTGCATTTGTTAGGAAAAGTCCCTCTTACAATCATGTCTTGCCCCAAAAGGTGTGGCACACACCAAGACCCCACCCCCCTCCCTCCTTCCCTCTTCTGCTCTTCTTTTCTGGGTGAGTTTACTTTGGAGGTAGAGCATTACGCAGGTCATTGTGGAGCATGGGTCTGAGAATATCCTGGAGAACTGGTTTACTATGGCAATGTCTTCAACATTTGTATGTCATTAAAGTATTTTATTTCTCCATCACAAATGAAACTCAGTTTAGCTGGATAGAGGTTCTGGGACTGGAAGTTATTTTGTCTTAGGAGATTGAAAGTTGATGACCATCCTCTTCTGTCTTGAAATATTTCAGCTGAGAGATCTATAGTCGTTCTGATATTTTTCCCTTTGTAGGTGATGCTTTTCTTATGTCTGGCTGCTTGTAGAATTTTTTACTTTGTCTTAACTTTGGCAAAGTTAATCACAATGTGTCTAGAAGATGGTTTATTTGGATTGAGTCTTTCTGGGGTTCTGAAACTATCTACTATTTGAAGTTCTGTATCTCTTGCAATACTTAGGAAAATTTCCT